TTAAAAGGTGGGGGGCAGGTAGGAACAGGAGTCGTAGGTTGTGATTTATGGAGGTCCTTGTTAGGAGGATAAAGAATAGGTGAGGGAATGGGGGGGGGGGGTCGCCTCCTTCTTTAGCTGCCCACATGAAGTCGTAACGGCGTCGCTTTTATGAAGTCGTCATTTGCTTTGATATTTGTGATTGGAATTAGTTCATTTGGTGTCAGATAGTTCACCAGCAGAGAGGATGTTTTTTAAAGCAGGAGATTTTTTTGTTCAAGTTTTTGATAGTTGTTCAATAAGTGAGTGAGTGAGTGAGGGAGTTAGTGAGGGAGTGAATGTGTGGTGTGGGTTTGATCAATGCGGGTGAGTTGTGTGGCTATGCGCTGTGTAGGTACGTGTTGAGTGGGTATGATCGTACGGGGAGTGGATTGTTGCCCTTAGATATAAGACACATCACTGAAGTGTTGGTATGGGTGAGTGGATTGTTTCCCTTAGATATAAGACCCATCACTGAAATGTTGGTATGGGGGAGTGGATTGTTGCCCTTAGATGTAAGACCCATCACTGAAATGTTGGTATGGGGGAGTGGATTGTTTCCCTTAGATATAAGACCCATCACTGAAATGTTGGTATGGGCGAGTGGATTGTTGCCCTTAGATATAAGACCCATCACTGAAATGTTGGTATGGGGGAGTGGATTGTTTCCCTTATATATAAGACCCATCACTGAAATGTTGGTATGGGGGAGTGGATTGTTGCCCTTAGATATAAGATCGCAACCTGACGAAGCAGGTGGGATGTTTTTGGCTAATGGGGAGATAACTGTTCCGGCTAAAAGATCTGTTCGGATTGACCGGCAGACACACGTACACGGTTTCATTGGCCACCGTCAACCGGCACGCAGTTCCGGTTTTACTAATAGCTCTCTAGGAATTCCGGAGAGGTGTCGATTCCGCGATACCGGTGCCGGTTCAAAAAGCCGATAGGGGATCTCTACAGAGATACAGGGCTTGATTAGGTGTGTTACCACGTTAATTTTAAAAGCCGGCTTAATGGAAATTTCCGATCCGGCTCATTACAGTTGCTTTAGATGTTGTTGTATTTTCCTTTATTAGAAGCGAAGGGGCGGGGAAGGGGGGAGGGGGTAGTGAAATGCATCTTGATTTCTTTTTAAGTTCGAACACACCTCAATGAGAAATGACATTATCATTAATAAATTGAGTCGTGATCCTTCTAAGGATTAATTAGAAAATGTTGAAGTCGAGAAATATTATAGGAATATCTTTAACACCTTCTCCATTAAGAATTTGAAGCGAATACACAAAAATATCCATTACATTGTTGAGTATCGAGTACACGTTGATAGAAATAATTGGTATTTGAAAAATTCAATTTTTCACAAATTTAATGCCGGGGAGTTGGTGTGGCCTTTTGTCGAAACATTTATATTCTTAGATAAATATTTTAAGTAATAAAAAAAAAATCTTATGGCCTGTGAGAATAAATGGTGTAGCCAGGTGTTGAGTGGCCAAAACTTTGGTGCACAAATTATTTCAAACTTATTGTAAAGAATGTAATATTAGACATGAGACACTTGTGTTGTTTTTTGTTGTTGTAGTTAAAAGAAACAAATATTTTTATGAGATGGATCGTTCCTTATACATGGTTACTATGTTCTCCGTTAGGACCATCAAGTCGAGGCTGTCTGTTAAAGATCTTTTGTTTTCGCTGTATAGAACAGGGGGGTTTGATTTAGAGGTTAATTTTTTAAAATTATTTTCCCGGACCAGGATCTTGAGGTAGGATAAGAGTAAAGGTTAAGGTTGGTAGCTAGATCTATGGAGATCATAAACAGGAGGGCTTACATGAGGTGTGGGCGGCTCTACGGGTGGGTCAATTGAAATGTTAATTAGCGTTTGTATCGTATGCTTGTGTTACCAACAAGACGTCGAATAGCAGCAGTGATTAGTGACTACCTACAAGACATCCAACAATAAGTACAAGACGTCTTATACTGGCTACACACAGGGCGTCCAATAGTAGCACTGGCTACCAACAAGATGTCGAATCGTGAAATGATCGAACCAACAAGCTACAAGTAAATCATCGTATGGTAGCCATATGCCATGTACAGGGCGTCAAATGTTGCTACCTTCAATCCATTGGATTGTAGATCTGGCTACTCACAAACTGTCGAATGGTAGCACTAGCTACCTACAAGCAATATGTAATCACAAGTACTCTAATGTACTGTTAGAGCGGAGGCGTTCTGATTGGAGACAAACCACGGCGATTAGAAATCGATAAATAGTACGGGACAGAGGGCGACACGATGAGTGAGTGATACAAAGTCAGCTCGTGGCTGCACGCGCGCTGTGTGCGTGCACGTGCGTGAGGAAATGTAGCTTGGTGAGTGGTTGTAGTGGACGGTGGTTGTAGTGGATGGTGGTTGTAGTGGTCAGTGGTTGTAGTGGTCAGTGGTTGTAGTGGATGGTGGTTGTAGTGGACGGTGGTTGTAGTGGTCAGTGGTTGTAGTGGTCAGTGGTTGTAGTGGATGGTGGTTGTAGTGGTTGTAGTGGACGGTGGTTGTAGTGGACGGTGGTTGTAGTGGTTGTAGTGGACGGTGGTTGTAGTGGACGGTGGTTGTAGTGGTTGTAGTGGACGGTGGTTGTAGTGGACGGTGGTTGTAGTGGTTGTAGTGGACGGTGGTTGTAGTGGACGGTGGTTGTAGTGGTTGTAGTGGACGGTGGTTGTAGTGGACGGTGGTTGTAGTGGTTGTAGTGGACGGTGGTTGTAGTGGTTGTAGTGGACGGTGGTTGTAGTGGACGGTGGTTGTAGTGGTTGTAGTGGACGGCGGTTGTAGTGGACGGTGGTTGTAGTGGTTGTAGTGGACGGTGGTTGTAGTGGTTGTAGTGGACAGTGGCTGTAGTGGTCAGTGGTTGTAGTGGACGGTGGTTGTAGTGGACAGTGGTTGTAGTGGTCAGTGGTTGTAGTGGACGGTGGTTGTAGTGGTTGTAGTGGACGGTGGTTGTAGTGGTTGTAGTGGACAGTGGCTGTAGTGGTCAGTGGTTGTAGTGGACGGTGGTTGTAGTGGACGGTGGTTGTAGTGGACGGTGGTTGTAGTGGTCAGTGGCTGTAGTGGTCAGTGGTTGTAGTGGACGGTGGTTGTAGTGGACGGTGGTTGTAGTGGTCAGTGGTTGTAGTGGTCAGTGGTTGTAGTGGACGGTGGTTGTAGTGAGTGCACGGTTTTTTTAGTGGATGGTGGTTTTAGTGGTCAGTGGTTGTAGTGGACGGTGGTTGTAGTGGACGGTGGTTGTAGTGGACAGTGGTTGTAGTGGACGGTGGTTGTAGTGGACGGTGGTTGTAGTGGATGGTGGTTGTAGTGAGTGCACGGTGGTTTTAGTGGATTGTGTTTGTAGTAGTCAGTGGTTGTAGTGGTCAGTGGTTGTAGTGGACGGTGGTTGTAGTGAGTGCACGGTTTTTTTAGTGGATGGTGGTTTTAGTGGTCAGTGGTTGTAGTGGACGGTGGTTGTAGTGAGTGCAAGGTGGTTTTAGTGGATGGTGGTTTTAGTGGTCAGTGGTTTTAGTGGATGGTGGTTCTAGTGAGTGCACGGTGGTTTTAGTGGATGGTGGTTTTAGTGGTCAGTGGTTGTAGTGAACAGTGGTTTTAGTGGTCAGTGGTTTTAGTGGATAAATGTTTTTAGTGGTCAGTGGTTTTATTGGACCGTAGTTTTAGTGGACAGTGGCTATTAGTGCACAATGGTTGTAGTTGTCATTTGTCTCAGCGGACATATTTCTTAACTTAATAGACAGTGGTTTCAAACTTAGTGGACTGTAGTTTTAGACTAACATGACAGTGTCGTCCCTTTACTTACACCATAAACAATTCAACTGTCGTGTTGAAAGCTAAGCATCCATGTACCGATACAACTGTTACCTAAACCGTAACTGAAACCCTAACCCAGTTACCGTTGAAAGCTTTCACTAACAGCCCCTGTGGGGGCGCCAGCCAGTACACCCAACAAGATCATAACCGCTCTCAATATCGCTCGCCATTAATTATTCATCCATTAAAATTAATTATTGGTACGACTTGGTGAGATACACAAGAGAAACGACTCAGGGAGTATTGGTGTACGGGAAGGAGGGGGAGGGGGAAAAAAAGGGGGGGGGGGGTACTTTCAAGTTCTAAAATCTTTTCGTTATAAGCTGGGCGATTAAATATGCATAAGGACAAGAGAAGCGAGGCAGATTAAAAATGTTAAGAGAATGCAAAATTAAAGATAACGATCAGTTTAGATGTCGGCGTTCTAGTTCACTAGTTGGTGTTATGTTAAAGGGTTTATTACAGCCATAGAATTTAGTTACTACTAAATCACGTAGAAGTGTTGGTTTCGTTGTAAAACCGGTGTAGATATTTATGAACCGTAGTTAATTGGGTGAGTAAATTATCATTTCAGCGGTGGATTAATACGTCTAATTTTTAAAAGAACAAGACTTTCTCTATACTTCGTATATACGAGAAAGTAAAAAAAGGTCAAATGTATATTTTCTGGAACGGTATGGCCGAATGGTAGAGCGTTTGGCTGCGAGCCAGAAGGTATCGAGTTCGGATCTTGGTGTGTGTAGGACGTCCTTAAGGCCGCCCAGCTCTGAAGGTTATCTGACTTACGTTACGGAAAGTAAAAGCGGCTGGCTATACATGAACTCTACTTCATTTGCCCTATTAAGGGATATAGACTTTGTATGGAGCTAAATTTAATAGCTCAACTGCTAACCATAACATATAGACGTATATGCATGTAACACATACGCTCAAATTCACAGAAAAAGTAATGAGACAACACCATTAATTTCATAAATATAACATAAACAATGCATAATGTAAACACACTGAAAAATAAGACCAACACAAATGCATTTAACACACACAAACATAGATACATACACTAAAACATATTTACAAAACACGTGGGGACACACAAAACAGAAAAAGACATTACTTCTGTGGTACATACCCAGTTAGAATACGTATAAAAAGATCCTTTTCTAATTTCAATTTCCTGAAACAAATAAAGAAAAAAGAAATACCAATTAAAGATTTTTTTTAAATAATTAAATATCAAATTTAAACAATCAAGGCTTTGGGCTGATTAAATTACCAGTCTTAAGTTGGTTCTTTTTTTAGGTTAGGTGTTTTGTTTTGTTGGGTTTAAATGTTAAGTTCCAGGCGGTCTCTGGAAGACTTGGGTTTAGCCCCCCAGTGATGCGCCGGGCTAGGAAACCAATGACGCACTAACGAGAACTTAAGCCCGAGATCTCGTTGGTAGGCGAGAATTGGAGACTGGTCTCCAGTGCCCGGGATCTCTGGGATTGTTTCAATTGCCGGCAATTTTCTGACATCAATACTTTAATTTTAGAATCAATTTAGTATTGTTTTTCCTAAGATTTCTATTCAAGAGTCTTTGCCGTGGAGAAGATGAGATAGGAATTAATTTTTTTAGACAGACGACTAATTATCTTTTTTTGTGTGTTGGTTTTTTAAAAAGCAACGTTATATTGTTACCTCTAGGTCGACTTGGTATTACGAAACAATTAGAAATAATAGCTGTGGGCCTGTGATTTAACAAAACACTCTTATGTCCTCTTTCAAGGATTTAACTGCGCCGACAGAAGATAGAGTAGAACACATCTACTCTTATTATATTTAGCAAATTAAATTAATGACAGATTAATTAACATCTTCTATTTACTATTATTTTTTAAACTTAATTAGCTAATAGTTAAGGAGACAGTTTAACTAATTTTAATTAAGAAGTTCAAGAACAGATTATTTTTTTAGTGTTGTAATCGTACTTAGACTGTACATTTAGACAACAAAGTTTTATTGGGGTGTGTTCAGAAGGAGGGGCAGTTCGCTAAGCATAACACGAAAATAATCTAACTCTACTTCATCTGCTATATGGGGCATTCGAAACAGCCCACGCGTAGAGTGTTACTATTTCACACCACGGGGTGCTTGACCTTGCACAGAATGTGGATCAAAAGACAGCAGCACACGCAGTTTAGAATGGACAAGACGCTTTCAAGGAAAAAAAAGGGCATTAACTAATAGCATTAGCTTTCTTCTGCTTTAAACAAAGGGACGCAAGCAAGACGGGGGTAGGGAGAGAAAGAGGGGAGGGGAGATAATTATAGCCGAGCCGCAACTTTAGGTATTGTTGTGAACTAAAGAAAGAAATAAAACGACGGATGAATGAATCGATGCTACTGGCCGGGGGGGGGGGGGGGGGGGGGGAGCCGTTAGAGAAAGAAGGAAGATATGAGGGTGTGTGGCGAGCAAAGGTTTTGTGTTTTGTCTGACTAGCTGGTGTCCTCATCTTCAGGGGCGAGCAATTTTTTTTACAACTTTATAAAATAGAGTAACCTGAAGAATGGTTTTAAAATAGGGCAAAATCTCAACTTATTTTGGATCATAGGACAATGTTTATTTTCAGGCTAGTTAAAATGGTTAAGTTGGTTGGATTGGTCATTTATTTATATTTAAGTTTTGACCACTGGTTATTTATCGATGAGTTTGTAGCTTTGTTTTATTGGGAACCTCCAATCAACACAGTGATTCGATGTAACTCGGATGAAGATCTGATTACTATAATATGGGTTTGGGTTAAATCCATGGCTAGTCTCTAACTATTGAGTGTTGTACGGTAACTAGTGGCCAACTATTGAGTGTTGTACGGTAACTGCTGTACTAGTGGCCAACTACTGAGTATTGTACGGTAACTAGTGGCCAACTATTGAGTGTTGTACGGTAACTGCTGTACTGGTGGCCAACTATTGAGTGTTGTACGGTAACTGCTGTACTAGTGGCCAACGATTGAGTGTTGTACGGTAACTGCTGTACTAGTGGCCAACTACTGAGTGTTGTACGGTAACTGCTGTACTAGTGGTCAACTATTGAGTGTTGTACGGTAAATGCTGTACTAGTGGCCAACTATTGAGTGTTGTACTTTACCTAGTTGCCAACCATTGAGTGTTTTACGGTAACTGCTGTACTAATGGCCAACTATTGAGTGTTGTACGGTAACTAGTGGCCAACTATTGAGTGTTGTACTGTAACTACTGTACTAGTGGCCAACTATTGAGTGTTGTACGGTAACTGCTGTACTAGTGGCCAACTATTGAGTGTTGTACGGTAACTGCTGTACTAGTGGCCAACTATTGAGTGTTGTACGGTAACTGCTGTACTAGTGGCCAACTATTGAGTGTTGTACGGTAACTGCTGTACTAGTGGCCAACTATTGTGTGTTGTACGGTAACTGCTGTACTAGTGGCCAACTATTGAGTGTTGTACGGTAACTAGTGTCCAACTATAGAGAGTTGTACCGTAACTGCTGTACTAGTGGCCAACTATTGAGTGTTGTACCGTAACTGCTGTACTAGTGGCCAACTATAGAGAGTTGTACCGTAACTGCTGTACTAGTTGTAAATAGAGCTGTCGGTGTAACTGCATGTCAGAGACTGACAGTAATTAATTGTCAGCAGAGTTGCTGTAATGTATGGTTACAGAACACGGTGTGAATGGAGAGGCAGTGTTGGTGTGGGGGAGGTGTGGGGAGGTGAGGGTTGGTGAAGACGAAAGGAGGGTTGTGGGGTGGTGTGTGTATGTGTATGTGGGAAGGGTGGGGGGGTACTGTGTTAAAGGAAGGGGGGGGGGCGGATGAGGCAGGTGGTTTTGAGGAAAGGTGGGAGAAATACGTGTGTGGGGAGAAGTAAATGTGCGGGGAGAATTAAGTGTGTGGGGAGAAGTAAGTGTGTTGGATATTTTAAGGTGGGTGATGGGCGTGTGTGGTGTGAGGGTGAGGGTGAGGGAAAGGGGGAGGTGGATAAAGGGGGTGGGGGGGTAGAAATTGGTGTGTGTTATAGTTTTGAGATAAATGGTGAGGGGGTAGGGGAGTTAGTGGGTGGTTGAAGTAAAGAAGGAGATGATGTTTGTATGTTGGGGGGAAGGGGGGGGGGTGAAGATAGAAAGGGAGGATCAGGAGTATCCTAGAAAAAATACACCAGTGAATGTATTTACATAACGGGCTGGAGCATAGAGTTCGAATCCTGGTTGTGAAATATAAAATTTAAAAAGCAAAAAAAAAAAAAGCAAAAAAAAAAACGATGCAGAGACAAAGTTTACCAGTCGGGCGTTGGCTACATTAGTGTGTGACGACACTTCCGCTGTTGTCAAATCATTAGTTATATTTGCATAATCCCCCTTTGTCTGTGTCAGTGTGTGGCTATTAAAATGTGTTTAAATAGTCTTTGGCCTTGCCGGTGCGCATTGTGCAAGTTAATTGTGGCTATGTTGTGACGTTCTCGTAATGTGCATACCATAATGTAGAGGGGTTCTTCGGGGACAACTCTAGTACAGTATATTTCGAATATTTAGCTAAACACTAAACTATATTAAATAGTTTTAGCTTTGAACAATAGTGTATTTAGTACAAGATCTAACGAGTTTTTATATTCAAAAAGCGTTTAATAAAACATCTTTTTTTCTTTAAATTTAAAAATAAATTCAAAATTTTAGCTAATCCCAGATTCATTTCCAATGTAGAATTATATTCGATATATTTTACTTTGAATTCGAGTACAGCTATTGGTAGATTGAAAAAGGTTATATTTTAAGTATGATGAACGAAGCATGCATTGTGCGCCATTGAGGTATGTTTAGTACTCCAAGATTCACACACCATTAACGTTTGAATACCTGGGTCAGGTAGAGGGGTGTTGCCTGGGATACGGGAGCAAGGATGTCGTTTCAAGGCATCGTTTGACTTAACCCGGAACAGGTTAGGAAAGTGGTCTGTGCGCATGTCACCGTGTTGCGGAAGATGTACCTGGATGTGACGTGGCCTAGTTTACTGTCACGTGGGTCGGCGGAAGCACATTTGTTAAAACAATAGGAAGGGGTGGGTGGAAGGAAGTGGTTGGGGGAGGGGGGGGGGTATCACAAGGTGAAGTCATGGACTACTCCAAGGACTTGGTTTAATTAATGGCTATCTTAATTTACTGTAAAAATACACACTTTGGCGGTACGTTTTCTCTAGATGCGTGTTGCGTCCATGGATCCTCAGCTGGGATATAAGACTATAACATAACCTAACACTAACTCGCCATAACATAACATAATCAAATACAATGGTAACACTAACTCAACATAACCTAGCATAATCAAATACAAACGTAACACTAATTCAAAATAATCTAACACTAACTCAACATAACCTAAGACTAACTTAATTAACATAGAATAGTAATGTCTCCACACAGATCAGAATGCCTAACTGGAAGCTACGCTACAATCTAACCCTAACTCTTTGGTTATTAACATAAACCTAACAGGTATATAGATATCGTGTGATTTGATGGGAAGTAGGTTTTGTCTTATTCTTATTTTAACTCAAAAGGATTTATATCAATAAGATAGATATTGGCGCGTTTTGTTAATTTTGGATTACGCGCACCTCATTTATCAAATAGCGAGTATCTTCGATAAAAAAACGTCGATACTTCAACCTTAGACATCAACTAATTTTTTAGTTCGCTTAATAGGGCTTGGTAGTCTACGGTCTCGAAATCTACTAGCTGCATAGTACGAGATCGAGAAGTTGTGACCTACTTACAAGCCCTATTGCCAACATCCATAACGGTATTGTGAGCAGAAACACCCCCAATCCACTATCTAACAACGGCCTTCAGTAACGCCCAGTGAAAATCTGACCACTGGCTATAGACCATCTGTCTGGTCACACCGCGTTCTTTTGGTATCTAAAGCCCCATAACTCCAGCCTCAGCAGGAGTTACCGGCCATGGTGGGAGATGGCTGGTGGGGTGTGGCCACGGTCCAACGGTTTCACGCCACGTATTGGCCCTTTAGTCACTGGCCACTGTTGTACGTGGCCGCCCCCACACCCAGCACTGCCCATTAGTGTCCATCAAACGGACAAGCCTGGGTCTGGACAATCTTATTCGAGCAGAGACGCCATTGGTTGGGTTGTATCAAAAGATGGAG